GGCAGGCAGGCTAGGCAGGCAGGCAGGCAGGCAGGCAGGCAAGGCAGGCTAGGCAGGCAGGCAGGCAAGGCAGGCAGGCATGTTAGTTAGTTAAATTAACTGATCTGTCTTCAGTTAAACTGATCTGTCTTGAGCTATTAACTGTTGGTCACATAACAGCAATATGTATGCATTTCATTGTACATTTTGGGAAATGGCACTGAAAGGCCCACTGCTGACATTTCATTGCACAGATAAATGCACAAGATTTAGGGTGCCAGCCAATTCATGTGTGAACGGATTTTGGGTTTTTCATGTAATTGCAGAAATCTTGGAAACTCTCCACCAGTAACATGACTTCTCCTGTTGCAGTGTTACTTGTCCTTTCTACCTTTGATGATATCTCGATATGGGATTAGGAGCAGTCAGTGACAAATTCATTCTGTGCCCTTTTTTAAAGATTTAAACCAGGCTGCTCAGTGTCACATCTGTTAGCACTTTTATGAGCTATCTGTTCAAATAATGACTTGCTGGCATACATTTGAGAACTTAATGTTGCCAAGACCATGTGCTTCAACTCGCTGGTCTCCAAGGGATCTTGCAGAATGATGCATCTGCAACTGATACTGCAAGAATTACTGTTCAATTTCGTTACTTTCCTCTTCCACTAATAGCTGCTTGCCTGACCTTGGCAGCCAAAATGAGTGACACAAAAGGTGCAGATTTGCAGAACCTCATCAAGGTATGACTTGGTTGCTGTTTCTACTTGGTGTTCCTATGCCAGTCAGACTTTGAATGGAAATTGTTCTACTCTAACCCATTGCCGAACCTAAGTATTATTCAAGTTTTTAATGACTGAATCTTGATTCATTGCAAAACAGGCATCTGTCAGATCAGTCACTTTCACCCCGCAGTATTCACTGTTGCTGTACATTTTGGACTTAACAATTTTTAAAAAGAACTCAAAAGCCTGCAGTGAACTGCAACCAAAGTATGATTTTATCATTGTGAGACTTTATTATGTTCCTTTTACACTAAACTAAAGTGTTGAATGATAATTAGATGACTTTTTTGTAATTAAAGGAGGTCTTTAATTCCTTTTTTTTAATTTTAACATTCTTCTGTTGACTCTCCATTGGCATCTTGTCTCTAGGAAATTGAGGATACATTCCGAGAGAACCGCAAGGATTTCCTGCAGCTGGAGTTCCCCATCCTGGTGGCCCTGGAGTTCAGCCTACACCTCCCTGAGGCTGTTGTCCTTCCCCACTATAGACGCATCGCCCAGCTTACATGACCCAGGCTCTAACAGTAACCGTCAGTCATTCATCAAAAGCCAAACCTCTGTCAGTCTACAAGAGCGAAAGCTCTGTTTTAGTAGCCACTGCTGTAAACAGCACATGTGGCAGTGGATTCTAGCTACAATGTATGTAGGTGCCTCTATAGGCTCTAGTGTTATTTCAAGCCACAGCCAAAACATTTGGACTCAATCCTATAAACCCAGAGTATATCAGCTCCAAGCAGGAACTGTAGAATACACCATGCATGTCACATCCACTCATGCAGGGCATTATTCAAAATCCAGGCCATTTTTGAGTAGAGTTGAGCTGAGCTGTCAGGAATGACAATCAATCTGTCAGGAATTTCTTTGCTTGTCAGAACTGGGCGTCAAGGTGGCACAGTAGTTAAATTTTGAATCTGCATAGATTATTGTACATTACAGTATGGCATGTAATGTTCTAACCATGTCCTCAGCAATGATACCAACACAGGTAAATACTAGTTAAAGGTTGGCTCAGCCAGCAACATTCATCCGTTTCCAAGGACTTACAAGTTGTTAAAAGTAAGTTCATCCCTGCCTTGTTAATAGGATCTTTATTCGGTATTTGAACATAGCAGTTGATGTAATTACTTATATTTACAAATATTTTGTGTACAGATATGACTTACTTCGGAGTCAGTGTGTAAAAAGCAAATTGTTCTATGCGTTCGACAGTGTCAAAAGACAGCATTTTGTAAACTTTTGGTTTGGGCTTTTAATGATCTTTTTATCCTTTGATGATAAGGGGCTTATCCATAACTGCCAGCATTTGCACAGTGCTATCCTGATGAAGGAAATCAGTCAGTTGGGTTTAAGTACTGTGCAGTTTTACAAAAGTATAATTTGAATAAAATCTGGCACACTGAGTTATTGCGCATAGACATAACGATTTGAATTCCCCAGACTAAAGACACTGTTGCTATACCTAGTGATTCAGGGCAAGCTTTTGCTTAGCGACCACCATTTCTGGAATGGACTGGTTCCTTTGTGCCCTTCTTATCCATTGAGAACAGTGTATTGGTGCAAGGCGTCTCATGTAACTAAGCAAAAGCTTGCCCCGAATCACAAGGTACAGCAACAGTGTTTTAGTATGGAAAATTCAAATCATATTCACGTGAATATAAAGAACTCAGTTTACCAGACTTTATTCAAATTTAACTTGCAAAAGGCTTATTAAAACCCACTATGTCTCACCTCCATTCTTTCTCATATCAATTTAGCGAGACACTTTCTTTTCTTTGCCTTTTTATTGTAGGACTTTCTGGTTTGAGCAATACAACATGTCCCCGTATGAATTTGCTTTTTAATATCTGAACAGAAATAAAATGTGATTGAGTTTTTGCATCACTATGGGGTTCAGTTATCGTCAGAACGCTCTATCCCCTGAGATTTTAAAATCATGGATACATTCCATGTTGCCATCTTCTCGCAACAGATCATATTAAGCAAAGCACCAACCCAATCAGTCAACGATAGTTCGCAATGTAACTTAACTATCCAATTTTTGATAATCAAGTTCAACTTGATTTAGAATTTGCACTATTTATGTATTTATCATTTTAGTTTTACTTCATAAAAGGAACTGACAAAGATAAAAAAAAGAAGGCTCAATAGAGTTCAGGTTAACTGAATAGACGGATAGGCTTCACATTACTAGATTTCATGTCTTGCTTATCACTCTTCATTTTAAGGGCAACATTAAACCCAAGGACAAAAATATTTGTCTATGTACTCATGTACATGCATTGCACACGTGTAATAACAAGTAGGAGATGGGCAACCCCCTTTTAATTTTGCACACAACTTAAGGGGTCAGAGTTGGGCCTCGGGCATTTTAAATGTGAAGTTTTGTTTAATGCCCCCACTGGGTTACTCACTGAACTCTAAATTCACTGTCATAGATTTGCCATTAAGAGTCAGCTGCTTCATACCATTCCTTTTGTTGTCTTCCATATTTCTGCCACAAATTTTTGGTTCTCTGTTAAATAATGCAGCTGCCAAAGATATTTGAAGGTTATATATCAAGTGTTGAAAGTCTGTAATGTATGTAAACTTTGTGAGTTCATTTTGTACATAATCATGATCGGCAGTATTACAACTCATATGATTGTAATATATTAAGATATTATGTGTAATTAGCCTATCAGCTACCGAGTAATTTGCTTGAAATGGAAAAAATGTTATATATGAAATTAAAATACCCTTCATAATGACTTTAAAATGGGCAGTTTGATATTGTCTCAAACATTCTGTGAACTATTCCGTGAATACGTCCTGTGCAGAGGTTGTGCATGGCAGCAGTTTCTCCAGTACTGGTTCCGACAAAGGAGTGTACGTAGGGCCCTGTTCATAGGTCTAAAGTTGGCGTGTATTGTGCCCTATTGGGCCGCGAGTGGCCTTGGGAGTTGGCGTCATTGACCTACACGTATGCAGTAAATTTGTTTCCATCAAAAGAGGGCGCTGTTCAGCATACGTGTAATGCGCATCGTGTGCTAAGCTAGTTCAATTGTCAACTTGTACTCAGGGGCGTGGTATTGAGTTTCACAGTAAATTTACAAGCATCTGTGATTCGCAGAGCTTCCTTGGAATTCGTAAGTTTTGTTCGTATTTCAGAGCGCGATCATGTCCATGATAAGGGAAATTTTTTATTGGGAAAGAGTTCCATATACGGACGCCATTCAACAGCCTGTGCACACACCCACGCCATGGGACTGGTCTGAAAAATTCAACTTCAAGTGTTAATTAAGCATGTCAAGTTTATGTCGGATTTATCATTGGCACAAAGTAGACAGGGATGGCCTAAAGGAAAGCTTGAACCAGTTTAGAACCAGGTTTGAGAATAAAGGCACCCAAAAATCAATCGATGAGAACTGGCAGAGTTTTGTGAGGGGTCTGCAAGATTCAGTTAATGAACATGCCCTCTTCACTGAAGTCTTCAAGATTCAATCTTCCAAGGCTAACCAGATCACTCAAGTGACTAATTCGAAGGAAGAATAGGGCCTTCTATAATATGCTTAATATGCTGATTTTGCAGTAAATTTCATGCTTCAAATACTAATACCTGTAGGCCCCACAAGCATCGAGGTAGGAAAGATTTTACCTGGACCTTGTAAAGCTTAAGCCTACCCTGTATCTGTAGCCTACTTGGGTGGGAATGTGGAACCCTGTTCCTACATACATCGTCCGGACACCAAAAATGATGCACCTGGGTTTCCCTTTGATCGTGCGGTATGCACGTACCAACGTGACCAAGGCTCCCTTGCAACCTTGAAAGTCACTCTTGAACAAGTTCTCAATCAAATAAAAAATGTGGAAAGACAAGGGTTTGCCGGGAAGTTATGGAAAAAATTAGGATCATGTACCGGTAGGGTCAGCGCAATAAAGAAAGTGTTGCCTTTGTTTTTTGTGGGGGGGGACATACCAGTATTGCAAGATTAAAATGAAAAAAAAGTGGGGGGGTCCCCAAGTATACAATCCCCTGCTTTTTGGCCACACTTACCAAGCTATACGTATCACAAAATAATTATTCCTGTGTATATTAGACCGGCCTCATAGGTGCAATCAGTCGATGTGCTACATGTAGGTCACTTGATCTTTGTGCAAGCAGTAAATCTTGCTGCATGATTTATTGACAATTCCACCATCAGCCAAATGCCTCTTATTCACAATTGTGAAAGATTTTTTTTAAAGGGACAAAGTTGGAGATTCATGCAGAATTGACCAATTGTGCCGAGCAGTCCAGCAATTTCAACCACTCAACATACCTACAATGCGGCATACAATTGATTAAATAGGTGTACTCATTATTGTCGATTTTTGAAAAACTGCACAGGTTCTAACATCAAATTTACACAACTTTATATCATGTAATTACCAATAATTATATATGAAATTTTAATCTCCCACCCTTGCTTCACATTTTGTTCTCACTGGTTGTCGTAAACAAATATTGGTTTTCAAATCAAGGAAATCAAGGTCTGAGCATTCATAATGGATGAACTACAATGTACAAGAATACTTTTCTTTTCTTGCAACAATTTGTACACATACACGTACAAGTATGGGCAATCTGTTTTTTTATCATCAACATTATTATCACAAGCATTACTTGTACTTTTTTTACCCCCATAGCAAAAACAAACAGTTCTTTATCAACCACCCAACAGGAAGTTCCACAATCAGCCATTAGATGCAGGCAGGGAGGATAAATTTACAGTTCTCACCTACATCATGGATGTTATTTTTGTTGTTGTTTGTTGTTGGATTTTTGAGATTTTGAAATGAACATAGAACACATTCCCTTGAATGTTTGGTAATTCCATGCCAGATTATGTAGACAGAGTTCATGCTGATCTCATTTATCACACATGTAAGTCAGGGCAAAAAAGCAGTTTTATAGACAAAATTAAAGTGCAGATTGTGGCAATACTTCTTCTGCCTTCTTTTCCAAAACCTCATGTGAAGAATTACATGTATCTATGGTTATGAGTGCAGCCAGTGACAATGTAATCCATCTTTCGACCTATGCAAGGAAATGTCCCAGTCTGTAAGGTTAAAACATACATGGAGGTTTGCATTGTTTGGATGATAAAGTTTTATATTGCTGAGTAAATGACAAACATGTTCTGTAAGCAAATGTACCATACATGTACATGTATACATAATTTGAATCTTCATTTTGTCCCCTTCCGTTTGATACCAGCAAGATGCTAACTCTTATCCCTGATCAGTCTTCCGTGACCCAGAGCATCATCTTGCTGGTACCAAATGGAAGTGGGCAAAACTAGCTCTCAAAGTACTGTTACACAAGAAGTTTGTTGTAGTAATCAAGTGAGTCAATACCAAATCTTAGTTCCCTTTTTGGGGGACTTTAAGCATTTTTTTTTAGAATTGTTCTATGTTCAATTGTTAACAAACAATTGTTTTTATTCAACAGTTCAGCATCACAGAGGACACATCAAGATGGCAGGGAAAGGGTAAGGATGCTTGATTTGAGTAAAGTCAGAAGAGAAACGTTTTCAAGGGAAAGATTGTGCTGCATTTCTGAGTAGCTCAAAGGGGCAGTTAGCACAGAGGCCGAAGAAGAAAATTGTGTCAGTATTACATGTACTAATCACATTTTTTTTTCTCTCAATATAGTTTGACCTCACCACATAAGCTAGTACTCGGCCTAAGTATCTCAAACCCTG